TGGCGTATATAAAGAGAGAGAGAGAGAGTGAGAGAAAGCGAGAAATCAAGAGAAAGAGAGAGAGAGAGAGAGAGAGAGAGAGAGAGAGAGAGACACATTTATCTTCTATTTTGAAAACGTACAACGCTTGTGTTTGGAGAGAAACCAAGGAATACATGTACATATAATACAAAATGCATAATTTATGCCATTCTAAATTATTAAAAAAAACACATACAAAACGTGTATACAAAACTGAAACTTATACAAAACAGGTTAGTGTGTGTGTGTGTGTGTGTGTGTGTGTGTGAGTGTGTGTGTGGAGAGTGGTAATATGTCTTATGTTACATTATTACGTTAAAGAGATGCATAGCATAAAATCACGCACATTCGCATGTTTGGAATATTAAACTGAACTGTGCAGAATACTAAAGAGAATAAAAATGTATGTATGTGTGTCTGTCTGTATGGGTTTGTATGTTTGTATGTGTTTGGTGTATATGTAGGTATGCGTTTATATTTATGTATATTTGCAGATGTATGAAATGAACAATGTTTGTTTGGATAACATTGTATATATGTGCGTGTGTGTATATGTGTCTATGGATATTGTGTATGTTTATGTATGTGTGAATATGTTTATTTGTATATGTACATATGTATGTATGGTTATTTGTACTTGTGTTTGGATTTTTAGGTATTTGCTAGTGCAGGTCGGCATGTAAGATTGGACGCCAATAAAATGAAAGAAGCGGAATAAAATTGAAACAAAACAGAAAGGCGGGAAATAGCGAGTAGGCCATTTAATTTTGTTTCGCGGCAGATTCACTTCTAGGCATGCGTGACGTCACACAATGTTTATGAATTCCCTCGTTCTAATTGGTTGGCTGGTTGGCCAGTCGGTCGGTCGGTCGGTTGGTTGGTTGGTTAGTTGTGTGGCTGGCTGTTCGGTCTTTAAATTTATTTTTGTTTATGTTTATGTTTAAATTTTTCATTTTGGTCACATGTTTGTTTACACTTCTAGATTTAATAACTTTTTTCTTTATATTTCCTTCAATTTACATTCATTTAATAGGTTTTTTACCTCTCTAACTCTGTACTTACCGTAAATTTTTTCTAGAAATATTCTCAACCCCATCATCCCAGTCATCATCACCACAGTGCGTAACCATCATCCCAACCAAACCAGTATCAGCATCGTCATCATTTTCATCATCACCAGTGATAGAGAAAAATTATTTTTCTTTAAAACGTGGACAATTTAACACATCTTGGGGTTTTTTTGTAAGTAGTTGTAGTATTAATATTACTACTACTGCTACTACTGCTGCTGCTAATACTAGTAACTTTGTTGTTGTTATTACTACACTACTGTTACTACTGCTACTACTAACGTTGCCAAAATTACTGCTACTACCACTAATACTACTACTACTACTGCTACTACTACTACTAATACTACTACTACTACTGCCACTACTTACTGCTACTGCTACTACTACTAACAACACATGACCATGATAGTAACAATATTAAATCACAATCCTACTCAAAAATTGCCAAGCTTGTAAAAAATTTTTTTTTTCCAAAAAATTAAAAATAAGAAAAGCTAACAAAATTTAAAACAGAATTAACACGCCGCTCATCTTCAAAAGAAACAGCACATCACTATTTTCTGACGTCACCAAACACGGACAGACTTTCTCTCGTTTTAAATAATTTAGTAACTCGCTTCTGAGTTGGCTATTTATTTCTCGTTCTTTAGTTGGTTGGTTAGTGGAATGAATGAATGAATGAATGAATGAACGAACGAACGAAAGAATAAACAAATAAACGAATGAATGGGAGATTGAATGAATGAATACATAGAAAGATAGATAGATAGATTAATGAATGGATAAAAACGAACTTATTAATAATGAAAAGTATTAAAAATTATCAATAAAAATGGATGAATTAATAATAAAACTGAAATAAAATCTGTATATAACAATAGTAGTAGTAGTAATAATAATAATTATTATTATCGTTACTAATATTCTCATTATTGTTATTATTTTTATTATTACTGTTATTATTATTATTATTATTATTATTATTATTATTATTATTATTATTATTATTATTATTCTGTAGAAAAGATAGGACAGCCGTGCAATCGTTTGGACGGACGAAGTTATGAATGAGTGATGTCCGGGAAAACAATTCCAAGCAATAAATCCATTCGTGATGGCACACGCACGCACAACGAGCGCACACACGTACACACACACACACACACAACACACCTACACATACAAACACATTCAAACTCAAACACACATACTTACATACATAAATATTGTACATTGATAGATACACTCGTGACTACATAGAAACACACACACACACACACATATATATATATATACATACATACATACATACATACACATACACGCACACACACACACATTCACTTTTATGCGCTTAAGTACCATACCGACATAAAGTTTTGTATGAATTTATGACGTAAGAGTACTTATGTGACGTCATCACAGGCACAATGGGATTATTATTATTAACAATATAATAATAATAATTATTATTATTAGTGTTAGTAGTAGTAGTAATAGCAGTAATAGTAATAGTGTTGTTGTTGATGTTTTTATTATTTTATTATTATCATTATTTTATGGCCATTGTAATGATTTTTGGAATGAAGGCAATTATGATGATGACGACAATGATGATGATAACGATGAAAAGGCGAGGATGATGATGTCAAAAAATGATGAGGGTTATAAATAGAAGGGTTTGAATGGGACAATAAACTTATCTGTTTGATAAAACTCCCACCATAAAATTTATGCACCATAATTCATATTACATTACATAAAGTCTGTGTATGTGTGTGTGTATGTATGTATGTGTGTGTGTATGTATGTATGTGTGTATAATGTCATTAGCAATCACTGACTTCCCGTACGAGTCGATACATTAAACGGTCGCTCGGTAAATGGCGAATCGATTGACATACTCGATATTATCGTAAACCGATATTCGATAGAATCGTAACCGATATTTCTCAATTTTAGCCACACGTGTGTCGTTATTATCATTGCTGTTTTGGGGGTTTTATTAACATAACATCAGAATTAAACAAAAATGGTCAAACAAATGCGCAGACAAGCAACAAACCAACAAACGAACGAACGAACGAACGAACAAACAAACAAAACAAGCAAAACCACCATCACCTTCATCATTTCACTAACTTGTAATCCGATTCCTAACAATAGAAACATTTTGCTGGTAGAACCAATTACTTGCGCTGATAATTCTACCCCCGCCATCATCATCATCATCTCTCCATTTCGTGCCCACGTGACCCCATATTTTGACGTACACTCCTGGAGGAGATGGAGTTTTAACAAAGGTAGTAGTAGTAGTAGTAGTAGTAGTAGTAGTAGTAGTAGTAGTAGTAGTAGTAGTAGTAGTAGTAGTAGTAGCTGTTGCAGCAGCAGTAGTAAGAATAACATCGTCGTCGTCATTTTTGCCATCATACTCTTCATCATCATCATCATCATTTTCATCATTCTCATCATCACCAACAGCATCATCATCATAACCGACCGGAAATTTTCATCCGATACACTGGCCTAATGACAACACAACCGGTTATACACTGGCCCGCCTGGTAGGTTGGCTTCTGGCAATTTGGAAAACATGAAGCCAGGCACTCGTCATCAACTATGACGTCATCGTTGTTGTTGTTGCTTTTGCGACTGGCTTGTATTTGTTGTCTTTGTTGTTGTAGATGTTGTTGTTTTTGTTTCAGTTCTATGGAGTAATTCAAATCGATGTTTGTTGTATTCAGTAGCGTCTCCCTGCTTGAATTATCTATGCTCCATGTGATGTTTTTGTTTATATTATTTCATATTATTGTTCTTTGTTTTGATTAAACCAAATTGTAAATAATTAATTGTTAAGATATAATGCGCTTTTCAATTAAATACGTTATTAATCATTCATTATTTATGCCGTATTTTGAATTTGTGTAGATAATTTTTTTGGAACAATATAATTAATAAAAAAAAATGAAACCACCTTTACTGTTTTTGTTATCTTTTGGCACGTAACTATAAACTTCCGGATGGTCTAACTGAAACCTAAGGAGTATGTTTCCTCTGTGCAGTCTAATCATTCGTTGTTGTTGTTGATGATGATGACGTTTTTGCTGTTGTTGTTGTAGTTTGATATGTTGTTCCAATTCAGCCATTTTGAAGTGCTCTGTTTAAATTTTCTTTAACAACCTACAAGACGTAGAAAATTATATTTAAAATAGGCTATATAAAATTGGCCGAAGACTTTCTTATTTCCAATGGAGGTCTTAAAGTCTTATTGTTTCGTTCGAATGCCATTTAAGTGCGCGCTATATAAATGTTCATACATGCATGCATACATACATACATACAAACATACATACATAAATGCATGCATGCATACATACATACATACATACATACATACATACATACATACATACATACATACATACATACATACATACATACATACATACATACATACATACATATATACATGCATACATACATACATTGTTGTTGTTGCTGTTGTTTTTATTGTTTTATTGTTTATCATAAATTTTCAATTTTGAATTTCACCAAAAAGAGATTTTAAATTATTCGGCGTTTTATTAAAGAAAAGCTTCGTTTAAAATTGTAAATAACTTTTTTCCAAAATCATCACCATTACCACCATCATCATCGTCATCATCATTATTATTATTAATAATATTATTATCATCATCATTATCATTATTGTCATTGTCTTATTCATGATCTTTGATATCAGAACCACCGACGTCATCACGCAATGATTTTTTTTATACCGTCATCTTCTTCATCATCATCATTGTTGTCATTATTATTACTATCATAAATTATTATTATTATTATAAATTATTATTATTATAATTAGTCAAAAAGTAAAAAAATAATAAAAAAATATTTTGTTTGCTTCATTCATTCAATCACTCAACTATTCATTCCATTATTCATTGATTCGTTTGTTTGTTCACTCATTCATTTATTCTTTCATTAATTCATGCGTTCTTTCATTCGTTTTTTTCTTTTTCCATTCATTCTTTCGTTCATGCATGCATTTCTCTGGCCATGAACTAAAAATACGAACTACACACCTTTGAAAAAGTTAGTTGAATTACACCTAAAGGTTATATTACGCTACACACACACATGCCCACACACACACATACACACACATACATATATATATATATATATATATATATATATATATATATATATATATATATATATATATATACTTGTATACATTACATATTTATGACGTCATAAAACGCTGCGATCAATATGGTCCCATATATAATATATCATTCCATGTTTAATACCATTTCATGATAAATATTCTATACGTGATCTATAAGAACGCAGTGAAATTTAACCATAAAAATGGAAAGGTACACCACACCACACACACACACACACACACACACACACACACACACACACACACACACACACACACAGAGATACACACACACAGATACAGGCGTTTTATTATTGTGCAAGGCAAAGCCGTGTTGAATATTTTGACAAATCAACATGTGTATAGCGCTTAGTTACAATGGAAAACACTGGCGACACACCCTCCCACACACACAGACAAACACAGAGAGAGAGAGAGAGAGAGAGAGAGAGACAAACACACATACACACACGCACGCACACACGCACAGACTGCATATTTACATTAGTTTGTAAGGTTCTTATGAATCTAAACAATTTGGCAGCGAGTTAGATAATTTTCTGCTAATGGTATTCCTGATGTTGTTGTTGCTGCTGTTTCTGTTGTTGTTGTTGTTGATGTTGTCGTTGTATATTTCTTGACTAATAAGATCCAGAGGTTGAAGAATTGTGCTATCCGAATCATTGAAATCAATCATAAAAGTGCTGCCTTTATTAGTTGATGTTGTTGTTGATGCTATTGATGTTGTTGATGCTTTTGATGTTGTTGATGTTGTTGTTGTTGTTATTATTATTATTGTTGTTGTTGTTGCTATTGCTGATGTTAAAATACTGTCTGAGGATTTGCTCTTGACAAATAAGTTGATGGTTGCACTTTCGTACGAGTTTGCGCTTGTTTTATTGTTGATGATGTTGTTGTTTTTGTTGATGTTGATGTTGTTGGTGTTGTTGTTAATGTTGTTGTTGTTTTTGTTGTTGTTTGTGTCATCAGCTGCTTTTGAATCGCAAACATTTTCGTAATCATGATCGTACTGAACGGCAATTTTGGCGTAGACTGAATTTTTTGAAAAATTAATATCACTACTACGGTTGTTGTTGTTATTATTATTAATGTTATTATTATTAATGTTATTATTGTTATTTTTGTTGTTGTTGTTGTGGACGATTTTGTCGTAGTTCATATAAAAGCGACTGTTGTTGAATTTATGAAACGGGTTTAATTTATATAGAGAGTTGTTGTTGTAGTTGCTGTTGTTGTTGTTTAACGTTTGTTTTAATGTATTTGAGTTTGTTGTTGATGTTGTTTCGAACGCAGTTTCTATCCTCACGGGCTTAACAGCAGGATAAAAACGCCTGTTGATATTTGATTGAGTAGATGTTGTTGTTGATGTTGATGTCGTTGTCGTTGTAGTAGTTGTTGATGTTTTTGTATTTGAAGTTGATTCTGTTGCAGTAGCCAGATACACTTTAGAATTAGGCAATGTTGTTGTTGATGTTGTTGTTGTAGCTACAGATGTTGTTGTTATTGATGTTGTTGTTGTAGCTGTTGATGTTGTTGTTGATGTTGTTAAAACATTATTAGTAGCCATGGTAATACCCAACGATGACGTATTATTCAGGGACGCGGCTTGAATGACGTCATGAAATAGGGATGTGCTGTCAGAATCAAATGAAAAATAGGACTGAGGCGAGGAATCGTAAAGATGGCTACTGCAGTTACTGCTGCTGCTGCTGTTGTTGATGATTGAATGTAGATATTTTTTGTGGAGCGTTGCTGTTGATGCTATTGTTTGGAGATCAGTGTTCAGTGTCTGGTCCATCTTGAACTGTGCGTAGGCTTGCTTCTTCATCTCATACTCTTTCTGTGTGTGTGTGTGTGTTTGTATGTACGTGTGTGTGACTGTGTTTTGTGTGTGTGTATGTATGTTTGTGTGTGTTTGTGTGTGTGTGTGTATGCATGCATGTTTGTGTGTGTGCGTGTGTATGATACTGACCTTGGCTTTATTGATAGCTTCAAACCACGGTTTGACATCACCGACCAGCTGATAGACAGATTGGACGAGGTTGTACTCATTCACCGTGATCACTAACATACTAACTGATGATGGTGGTGATGATGATGATGATGACGACAGTAATGATAATGATGATGATGATGATGATGGTATGATGGTGATGATAATGTAATGGTGGTGGTGATGACAATAATGATGATGATGATGTTAAATAAAAAATATTATCATACTCCAAACTGAGACACCAACACACCAACACAAAACGCAAGACCGAAAATACCAACCGTTATCCTTCAATTCATATACCATCAGTCTATCGAGTGGGGTCACGGGCCGAATGACCTTGAACTTGACCTTTTCGAGTTTCTTGGTAGCCTGCTTGGTGACTAGTAACATGTCCGTCAGAAGATAGCACAGAACGTCAATCTATAGTTGAGAAGTTATGTGACGGAATGTGATGTAATGATGCTATGTGAATTAATATTCAGAATATTTTGAATTATTAATAAATATTAATAATAAATAATTAATATTTTGAATTAATCTTAACCCTAAACTAAACAATCAACCAGGCCAACCAATTAACCAGCCAGCCAATCAAACAATCAACCAGGCCAACCAACTAACCAGCCAGCCAATCAACCGGCCAGCCAATCAACCATCCAACCATTCAGCGTCCAACCTTTCCAGAAGGTTCCTTGACCTTGAGTGGCCCCTGCAAGATGACACTTCTCTTTTCATGTGGGTGACAGCCAGGAATGCTCTGAGTCAGGTTCAAATGACTGTGTTTCTCTAGTAACTGGTTGGTTAGTTGGTTGGTTGATTGGTTGGTTGTTTTATTGATTGTTAGATTGTTTGAGAAAATGAATAAACGAACGAATGAATGAATGAATGAATGAATGAATGAATGAATGAATGAATGAATGAATGAATGAATGAATGAATAGTTGATTGAGTGAGTAGATGAGTGAATATTAAATCAAATAATTAATCGTCCTATCATACATCAGGAGATATCTCTTTGAATTCCAATTCAGTTCTTAAAGGTTAGAACCAGGCGCTTTCAACCATAGTGACGTCACTTTGTCAATCAACAAATCAACCAGCCAACTAACCCTCCAAACAAACAATCAATCATCCAACCAGCCATCCAAACAATCAATCATCCAACCAGCCATCCAAACAATCAATCATCCAACCAGCCATACAAACAATCAATCATCCAACCAGCCATCCAAACAAACAATCAATCATCCAACCAGCCATCCAAACAAACAATCAATCATCCAACCAGCCAGCCAACCGGCAAACCTTTTGACACTCTTCACTGACGTTATCAGCGACTTCGTAGCAGTCGATACTGTCCATGATGGTCGAAAGCTGCTGATGTTCCTGTCTCAGACGCACGGCAGCGTCAACTTCACTCACAAACTTATCCACGTACTCCATCTGTGCATATGGTGAGTAAATTGGTGATGACATTGAGATAGTGATGAGATTATGGTGATGATGATGATGAGATCGATGATGATGATGATGATGGGATTGATGATGATGATGATGTTCAAATAATTATTATCTGAACATCAAACTTCAAAACTTCACTCACAGTGATGTGATTATGGTGATGAGGAAATCGATGCTGATGATGATGATGTGATCGATGATGATAATGATGATGATGAGATCGATGATGATGTCCAAATAATTATTATCTAAGAATTGTAAATAAACAATAATAATTTTAACACACACACACACCATAATCCTGATGTCAATCCTTTGTCGTTCATAGGTTTCCAGCGCTGATGGTGGTGGTGGTTGTGATGACGATGATAATGGTGGTGGTGGTTGTGATGACGATGATGATGACGACAAAGACGATGACGTTTTTGGTAATGATGATGATGGTGGCTGCGGTGGCGAGTACGATGGCGATTTGGAGGTAGCTACAACATCGGCGTTTTTGATTTTTAACGTTTTTTCGTTATCATCTAAATTATTATTATTATTATTATCGTTATTATTATTATTATTATTATTATTATTATTAGCGTTATTATTATTATTATCGTTATTATTATTATTATTATTGCTTATGCTATCCTGGTCAGCAGCGTTAGGCTCGCTTATGTCATTTTTAGCATCATCATCATTAATATAATTGTTGTTATTATTAATATTTTTCATATCACATTCTTCTTCATCATCATTATTATTATTATTATTATTATTATTATTATTATTATTATTACTATTATTATCATCATTATCATCATCATGTTGTTGATGATGGTCTTTCTGTTGTTTGTCGTTAAACTCTTGGCATTCGTTAATGATACGCTCAATGACCTCATCGCATTTCGTGACGTCATCTGCGCCATCATCATGTTCTTTATCATCGTCATCATTGTCATTGTCAACAATAATGTTTTCAGTGTTATCAGCTTTTTCAATAGTTTTACTTTGATCATTATTATCATCAGTGGTATCGTTGTTGTTATTATTATTATTGTTATTATTACCAACTATATTATTATTTATAATATTATTGCTATTGTTAATTATATTATCACTCATAGTTTCGCATTTATTTTCCAGTTCGTTGTTGCTATTAGTCAGAGTTTCGACTAATCGCAGAACGGGTTTATTAATAGCAGCCAGTAGGAGTTTGTACTTCGTTAGTCTCTGAAACGGTGTCACTATCAGGTCAGTTAACTTCAGCCTATTGCACTGGGGCTGTGACTCTGCCCACTGAATTTGATAAATTAACATAAAATTAACATAAAATACCATTAGGACACATTAGATAATGCATGTAAACTATCTTGATTTTATGTGCAATCAATAAAAAAAATTGTTATACGTTGATGAAAATCTTGAACAACTCATTATCTTTCAGTCTATTTTTGGTGTATTCTCGGCAGACTTCCTGTTCTAGGCAATATTTCTTGTACGGTTCGAAAATTTTATCAAACTGTAAGAGGAAGGTTATTTAATTTTTTTTTTTATGAATTATTTTATTATATCTTTTATTACATTATTTAATATTTTGATCAGTCCAACGCTTATAATATTAAAATAAAATTTGTTAAAATATGCGATAAAACAAAACTCACAATCAGAAATCCGGATTTCAGTCTAGTGGGGTCCAGGGGTGAGCCAGTTTTTTGGGCCTCCGTGAAGACGGGGTGAAGGTAGGTGGCCCAGAAGTGGCAGGTTGCATAGAAAACGTCAACAAGGTTGCTGCAGAGTTTATCAACTTCGATCTGCAGATGACGACGATGACGACGAAGATGGGATAGCAGTCGTAGTAGTAGTAGTAGTAGTAGTAGTAGTAGTAGTAGTAGCAGCAGCAGTAGTAGCAGCAGTAGTAGTAGCAGTAGCAGTAGTAGTAATGACAATTGCAAAAGTTACAAATTGTTACCTCGTTTAATATCAAGTCATTCTGCAGGTTGATCAAGCAGCAAACGAACAACTGGAATATTTTTATTATTATTATTAATTATAATTATAATATAGAATAGTAATAAATATAATAATTATAACGTCATGCCCAACAACAACAACAACAAAAACCACAAACAACTCAACTTACATCGGTTATGACCCTCAGTTTATTGATGTAATCAACCTCAGTGACCAACAACTCCCATATTGCTTCCTGTTCATCTTGCTCGTATTTGTTCATCACATGACCACTGGTCACAATTTTTGACCAATGAGATTCCAGCTTGAACAAACCCCGATCGTAATTGGGTCGACCCAAGGTCAAAAGGTCTGGCATTTTCGGTAACCCGTTTTGGCTGTAGGAGGTCAATATTTCGGTCAGTTGTTCGTGTTTTTCCATCTGCATCTAGGTTTGTTAACCAATTAATCAATCAATCAATAAATTAATTATTCGTTCATTAAATCAATCAATCATTCAACCAATTATTAGATCAAACATTCAATCAGTCAATCGTCCATCGGACCAATTTCTCAAAAAACTTCAACGATGGTAACAAATAATGTGGCTTATTAAACTAACGAACGACAGTTCTTTTAAAAATATTTCAACTACTTATTAGGAGTACAATTTCCAATTTAAGACGAATTAATAAAATCCAAATAAAGTAGAGAGCTATAACAATAAATATTTTTAATTTATCAAAGTAACAAAAATCGTGTCGAGTGGTCTGAAATAAAGGATCAGACTGGTTATCATCGTTAACTACAAACAAACAATTATTCATTTGTCTTGCGCGGGTAAAAGAAGAAAATTCACATGAAAATTGTAATTTACGTCACGTTAGTTTTTTTTAATTATTCATTTCTTCATTCATTCATTCATTCGTTCGTTCGTTTGTCCATTCATTCATTCATTCATTCATTCATTCATTCATTCATTCATTCATTCATTCATTCATTCATTCATTAAATTCTAGCGCGTATTTTTTATCTTACGAATCGAAAAAAATTACTTTTATACCTCCAAAAAATTTCCAAACGTAGTAACAAATAACCTAAAAGAATTCTAAAAATAGTAACAATTAGCCTAGATAATTTTTATAAAAAAAATAGTTGACCTACTTTCGTGAATGATCCAAATAGTGAGTGAAGTTTGCTCTTGGATTTGAACCTGAGAGAATCGTGATTGGAGTTGATGGAGGCATCTTGAGATCTAATATCTTCCATTGAAGACATGCTTTTTTTCGGCTGTCTGGTCAGCTGATTTGTTTATTTGTTTTTTATTTGTTTATTTTTCATTTAGGGGTTTGTTCTTTCGTTCATTCGTTCGTTCGTTCGTTCATTCATTCATTCAGTCAGTCTTACCGAATTCATTCTCTTGCCTTGTTCAACCATTGAAGTTGTCTGATGGATGGGTGTCTTTGTAGGACTTTTTTCTTTAACTGATTCAATCAACCATTCATTCAATTAACTAATTTTTTGATAGTTTATCAATCAATCAATTAATCAATCAATCAACCAATCAATCAATCAACCTGCGAACCAATCAAACCTTTTATCATAAGTACACTATTAGCCAGTAGATATATATCAGATGACAGTGGTAGCGGTGTCTTTGAAGAGTCCAAGAAGACGTCAACTTTATCCAACGTCAACCCGCGCTTCGTTATCGAGTTTAGGATTGCTTGTCTAGTAATGAGTGTGTGTGCGTGTGTGTCTGTGTGCGTGTGTGTCTGTGTGCGTGTGTGTGTATGTGTACGTGTTGTGTGTGTGTGTGATGGCTGTTTTAATATGGTAGCTAGCACAATTACTAACTCGAGTTTCTGACCGAAAAACGCGGCAATAAGTTCACCATCGTCTTCCGGGGAATATTTTAACGTGAAAAATTCAGAAGGTGCCGAAAACTGAAAAGACATTAAAAAGTTTCAGAATTGAAATGACATTAAAAAAATGACATCAATTTTTCATTTGCAAATTCTTTAAACATTACATTATAATTGGATGATATTGATGCCGTCAAAAATAAAAACGCCAGATATTTCCTAAGAGTTTAACAGGATAAGTTCATTTAGAATGTAAATAACTTTCTTTAATATACATTCACACGCAAACCATTTACAATTTAATGTTCATTACACTAACACGCACGTTGTTAATGTAATAAATTGTAGTATACGCACAGGCCAACCAACAGCAATTACTCAGATAACATCAACACTGACATCAATCATACCATTCAATACGCACCTTTTTAAGCAGAGCCATCTGTTTTTTAGAGCTTAATGTTGAGTACATAGAGCCAAACATATGCTTATTCTTCGAGAAGTCTGGCGACACTAATCCATCCTTGAAGCTCTTCCTCTTTGTAAATGAATTAAAAAAGTCGCAAGGGGATCTCAAATTGGCGGAGAGAGACGTGGAAGACGGTGACTGCACTTGTTTGCTCTCTTCTAGATCAAATTTGTGGTCTAGACATGAGGATATAGATGATAATCGTAATTTTCTTCTGTCTAGACTCAAATTTCTTTTTGTAACGCTGGCGTTGTTCGTCTTCGTTGATGCTGAATTGATGCACGGTGAGTCTGGTTGCTCTTTTGGACATTCTAGTTCGTTTGTACTGATGTTTAAGTTACTCAAGTTCAAATTTGAAGGAATGTTTTTTGGTGTTAAATTTGAAGTTGCGGTATTTACTTTCAACAAATTGCTAGCAGAAGCGCTAGAATTGCTAATTTTAGCGGCAACCCTTTGTTTAAAACTCGACGGTTTAGATGTTGCTGGGGAATTTTCGTTCAAAGTTTGATCGGCTGATGAGGATTTCATTGATTTTCCAGTCGGAGGTCGCGGGGATCGAGACCTTGGTGGTAGTCCCTTTGGGGGCAGTTTGGATGTCCAGTCTGAGTAGTTTGAGCTGGAATCAGATGAGGTGCACCCGTTAGAAATGACCCTGTTTAGCATGGGATCTGTCAGACTCCTCGTTGACTCCTATTGGTCGATCGGAAATATTGGTTGGAGGTTAAAATTACTGCTTCCAGTTATGATGCATCGGTATATCGCAGGTGAGTGGTTATTATTATTGTTATCATTGTTGCCCTTGATGAACCACAAAAATAACAATAATGACATCAACAACAACAGCATCATAAAGAACAACATCAACAACATTGACAACATTATAAACAACAACAGCATCAATGTTGACAACAATAATGACACTAACTCACATTATTTTTTCCTCTTTTAAGTTTAACGGCTTTTTTTCTGTGAAGTCTTGGATTGCTGAAACGAAACACGAGGAATCAGTTCTCAACGTATGCAAAAAATTATTTTGTCGTTTTATTATTCAGGAAAAACTATAACTGACAAGCGAGCTATAAAAATGAAGATTCAAGCGAAGTCGAAGAATGAAGAAAATATAAAAAATTAGAGAGAAGGAGAGAGATTGAGAGAGAGAGAAAAAAAGATTGAGAGAGAAAATGAGAAAATACTGGTAAACAATTGATTAATATTGGTAGTAGATACATTATTAAGGACTGAAACTAAAGTAAAAAAATGAAATACTCAAGAGAAGATGTAAAAATAAAAATGTAGAGAGAGAGTGAGAGAAAGAGAGAGAGAGAGAGAGAGAGAGGGAGGGAGAAGACGGAAAAAGAGGGAGAGAGAGTAGACAGAGAAAGAGAAAGAGAGAGTAGATATTAACAAATACAAAATACTAACAAATCATTATTGAGTAGCGTATCTTGTGTCAGCGGCTCACTCGATTCCGACTGCTCGCCATCGCTGAATGATGATTGGTGGTTGACAATCGACACGTTACCGAACTTCCCTTCAAGAATTATTTGAATATGTACTAGTTTGTTTGTGTGTGTGTGTGTGTGTATGTGTGTGTGCGTGTGTGTGCGTGTGTGTGTGTGTGTGTGCTGCTGTAGGCAGTAGTTGCCGTTGTATAGAAACTACTCACCGGTATAACTGTTACAACAGTTCTCTTCGGACATAATCAACAAAAATATGAATACTAGAATTAAATAACTAATTAATTGATTAATTATATTTATATTATTATTAATCAACTATATCTGTATTATTATTTTATTAATGCTAATTAAATTTTTATTTCAATTATTACAAATTTATTCGGAAAAAAATACTCCTAAAATCTACCAATGTGTAAACTCATCAACAACAAATTAACAGGATATAAAAAGATATGAGCTGTCGTCTTAATCTTATTCCTATATATATATATATATATATATATATATATATATATATATATATATTAGAGAGAGAGAGGGAGAGAGAGAGAGAAAACAAGACATATTATATATATATATATATATATATATATAATAATGATAATAACTATAATAACACATATTATGGTAATTGTTCACAGACGTTCATCTTGTATTAACAACAACGACAATTAAATTGTTCTGTCAATTATTCCTACAACTAAATACACATCAATAAAATGAACCTTTTTATATTTTGTATGTATGTGTGTGTGTGTATGAATGTGTGTGTGTGAATGTGTTTGTGTGTGTGTGTGAATGTGTGTGTGTGTTGTGTGTGGTGTCTTTTTTGTGTAATGTGGGTGCTTCGTATACACATCTGCGTAAATAAGTAAAATGTGAAATATAAAACAACTGAAAGAGTAGCTGGTTAAAGAATATCTAGAAAGCGACTCCCATGGACAGACAGCTTTCAGTTGAACAGTGGAATTTATTTCCTAATTCGCTTTTGAAATCAAATCCATTTTGACTTAACCGTTAACTATCACATACGTGTATATGATACATGACTTTACTCTCCTGTAATTCAATGGTAACATTTTAAATGAATTAAAACTTAAGTTCACATTTAAATAAATAATATTTATTTGAAACGTGTAATTTCATTTCTCTCTAAATTATTTCCTAATTAACGTTTTCACTATTTTTGACCACAAAATCCGTGAAATAAAACATGCATTTACGTTTAGGAATTCGATTTTTGTTATTTTCAGCCGTTTTTGTGGTTTTTTTCAGCAAAGGTATGCAATGATATTGATTTTTTTGGTGATTTCTGGTTTTTCTTTTTAATAAATATTATAATAAGTTGATGAAATAACTGCTAAATTAAATTTTAATTAAAAATTCACTTTTTCAAATTAGAGCTTCTTAAATTTGTTTTTTTTAAAAACGTTTTATGCTCCAAACAGAAAGATTTTTATTTTGTTTTAATTTTATTTTATAGATTTTTATTTTTAGTTTATTTTCTTGTTGAAATATGATTTATTATTTTATAATCCTCCATTTTATAAATTGTTAAAATTTTTTCTATTTGATAATCTAATCCCTAATTTTTGTGACCAATTTTTTCAGGACTAAGCGATGAAACAGAAGTTAATTCATCATCCGATATTGATGGTACGTAGAGGGCTAGAGGGCCATTAACTTACTTTACAATTTTTACATAAATTATGATAATTAAATATTTTTTATGATAAATCATTATAATTATATATATCATACTTCTAGACATTTTGATTTTTAAGAAATATATAAGAAATATAAATCAAATTAAATTATTAAAAACTTTTAAAAATCAAAATGTCTAGAAGTATGATATCAATCAATTGATTGATTGATTGATTGATTGATTGATTGATTGATTGGTTGGTTGGTTGGTTGGTTGGTTGGTTGGTTGGTTGGTTGGTTGGTTGGTTGGTTGGTTGGTTGGTTGGTTGGTTGGTTGGTTGGTTGGTTGATTGATTGATTGATTGATTGATTGATTGATTGATTGATATCATACTTCTAGACATTTTGATTTTTAAAAGTTTTTAATAATTTAATTTGATTTATATTTCTTATATAAACTAATATTTGGTCTAATTTATTGTTCTTGTATAATATGTTATTATTATAATATATAATAAAATAATATATATTATATTATTTTATTATTTATTATATTATATATTACATATTATTATAAACAAATATAACCTAATTTATTAATTACTTATTTTTTTATTCCATTTAAATATTATTTTAATTATATTTCATTATATATTATATTATATATTACATATTATTATAAACAAATATAACCTAATTTATCAATTATATATTTTTTTATTCCATTTAAATATTATTTTAATAATATTTCATGGCAAAAAAATTTGGTAAAGATCCTTTGCAGAAAGTAAGGGATAGTTATTTAAGGAGGAGAGCCCTTTTAAACCAGCTTAATTACGATGGTAATGATGAAGCTAAAGGTTCTTATAAGCATTTATTTATATACATATTGCATGCTCGTATTAGGTAAGGTTCTAGTTTTCCATGCTCGCCTAATTCAAGTAGGATTAGTGTTAAGGTTTGTTAATATTTTGGATATGATTGTTTATTTAGAGTTGATATTTGTGACTATTAATTTGGTTAATTTAATTTAATTTTGTCCTAATTCTGACATTATTTTTAAAAAGCATGTGATTAGTGCTAAGAGTATGAATTACCTAATTATTTTTCATTTATTATATTTTGGTTATTATTTAATTATTAAGTTATTAAATTATGTAATCCATATCAACTATAGTCAAGTTTTTCTTATTGCATGATAAAATGTTCATTAACAATTAAATTTTGTTGTAATTTTTATTGTTTATTTATTTAATTAATGTAGTTAATTGGTTAATTAGGTAATAAACTAATAACTTAATTAATTAATCATTTGACAGTTTTTTATTGTTTATTTAGCAAAAAAACATTTGAATATATATTTTATTTAATATTTCTGGTTGTCTAGTCTTGCATGTTAGCAAAAGTTTTTCACTTTATTTTAGTCAATTTATAGGTTTAGTACAAAAATTTCACTGTCGATACCCTTTTCTCTATCTTATTTTTCAAAATCTATACTTTAGTTTTACATTCATTCACTAATCATTCATTCATTCATTTATTAATACATTCATTCATTCACTAATTATTCATTCACTAATCTTCATTCATTCATTCATTCAATAAAGATAGATAATTTTACAAAGCATAATTATTTTTTCTTCGTTACATGCATGGATATTTTGAAGAATTTTTTTTAGTGTTTTTGATATATTTTAAAATTACTCGTTTGTTTCTTGCACATATTGTTAGCATTACGTCGTCGTCACCATCATTCTTTGTTTGAAAGTATTTTTTAAAAACGCTTATTACACTAAACTCACCGAACTAATTAAATTTAAAACACGGTAGTACTTCATTTTAGTTTCATTGCTTTGTTTGATACTGTGTGTTTTACTTTTTGTTCTATATGGATGGATCATCTTTATAACTTAACATTAGCACTTTGCTGATGGCGTTATTAAATGTCTTCAAAATGAAAGTAGATAGATAGAGCGAGATGCACTGTAAAGAGGCAAGAGATGTGATAGCCGTATATTGTAGTCTGTTAGCTTAACATTCTGGCGTTCATCGTTTAATTAACGTACCTCTAATTTATGTCTTAACAAATGGCAAGTTTCTAACACTGTATATAAATCTACATACTATTCAACTTCATCGTCGTCGTCGTTGTCATCACTAACACCATCTATAATGATTGTAATCATCATCATCATGATTTACTCCAGAAGATGATGACGATGATGAGGATGGTAGTCACGATAATGAAGGTGATGATGATGGTGACAATGGTGAAGAAGACGAAGGTGATAATGATGATAGAAGCATTCCTACCACTCCAAATGTACATACTGCTACTACCGATTCTACTACCACCACTACTACTACTACTACTGCTACTACTACTACTACTACTGCTACTACTATTACTAATAATAATGATGACAATGATGATAAAGAAGATGAAAGTGTTGAAAGAAATAAAAAGCATAAAAAAGACGTTGATGATGATAATACCAATGGTAACATTGGTGGCTACTCATATGATGATGACGATGATAGAGTCACATCTTCATCATCATCATCATCACGATCATCATCATTCATGTATGGTGGTGATGGTGGTGATGATGATGATGGGGTTGATGATGTTGAACCAGTAGCAAGACAATCTGCTGTTAGCACGTGGGATAAAATTAGAATGAAATTAATGAAGCGGCAAAAAGGTGCCAGTAAAAATCAAGAAGCTACTACTACTACTGCTACTACTACTACTACTACTACTACTACTGCTACTACTACTACTACTAGAACTGCAACAAAATCTACTACTTCTACTGCTATTACTACTCCTGTTATTACTACAACAACTAAATTTACGGCTATCACTACTACTACTGTTAGTCGCACTACTACTACTACTGCTACTACTACTACTACTACTGCTGCTACTTCTTCTTCTACTACTACTACTACTATTACAATTACTACTACTACCACTGTTGATATTGATGAGGATGATGATACTGATGGTGGGGTTGTGGAATCCAGCAATAATGCAGGAGAAGATGATGACGTCATTATTAAGAAGAAAAAATCACAACAGGAAGACGATAATGAAAGAAATAAAGACATCAACATGGACAAAAAAGTTGTTGTGGAGGCCGGCCTTAACGCTAACAGTAACAACAACAACCTAGAGGATGTAGACAGTGACGTTAACACAAATAACAACAACAAAGATGGCGGAGAAGATGATCTAAATGATGATGATGATGATGAAGAGGAGAATAATGAGGATGATGAAGATGATGATGCATTGGATGAAGACAGCAGCAGCAGCAACAACACGCACAAATCGTCATCACAGCAGTTGGAAGTTGTAGAAGGTTTATGAAGATCTCATTGTTTTTGTTTATTGTTTTGACCAAAGATACAATAAAGTTCTTTGTTCTTTGGTAATTATATGTAAACTTTATTGTGTGTTCTTCTAAACTTCTGCGAGTTTAAACGAAGAATAAATTATATTATTATTATTATTATTATTATTACGGAAATTTATATCCAGCGCTTTTTTATTGTTGAATCTCAAAAGCGCTACTAAATCATATATA